AAGCGAATAGTTGTAATGAGCTGTGGTTTTTTTAAGTGTTTATGGCCTGCCCAACTGGTTGGTTACTAGCTTGTTCCCTGGGCTCGTCATGTTCTCGCGCTTGTTGGCACTTGTTGGCGACTTGTGTGATGAAGTGTTGCTGCAACGTCGCGGCAGCGTTCGGCCACCCGCACCGGCATCGTCGTCATAACAAGCCGGGGTTTTCGGAGAGCTGCTCACTGGTTGCTTAAATAACTTGCAGCAGGTGTTTTTTACACATTTCTTGGCTTGTCTCGCGACATGAAAGAAGACAGCTGCAGTGGCAGCAACAGCAACGGCAAGGCAATGGCAACAGCAACGGCAACGGCAACTGCTGCAATGGGCAGGTCCGACCTTCTCAGAGCTACTAGAAAAAGGCAGAAACATACACACACACCCGCACACACACACATAAACGCACACACTTCCATAGTTAGAAACTGTGCGTGTATACATAACTTAAGATCTACGAGGATTTGAGGTTGTTTAGTGCCATGTACAATGCGCTGGCAGCAGCAGCAGCAGCAACAGCAACAGCGGCAACAGCAACAACAACGACGCATCCCTATGCACTGACTACATTGGTTGGCTCTTTTATTTTTGCTGCTGCCGGTTTTTATTTTTTCCCCCTTTTTGTAATTTTTTGTAGGTGATGTGTTGTGTGCCCGCACTTAAGGTAATTTGCATTGCAGAATTTGCAGAGCTTGGCCAAGGCAAGGAAAACGGCGACGACGGCGACAACGACGACTACGACGACGAAGCTGCAACTGCAAGCAACGTGCCAGGCATGAATGAAGCAAAGTGCTACAAAGGATTATGCAAATTAATTATTTTTCGCAAGGCACACACCACACTGACACACACACACATACATACACCGGCATACACACAGACACAGTCACCCAAAAAAGCATCTAGAAAGTGTAACGACAAAAAGTGGGTTCTGGCTTGGCTCGCCGGCGGCGACGACGACGACGCCAACGACAATGGCAAATAGTTGAACACACCCACGCCCACCACGTGCCGCCTCCCTTTTGGCCATCATCTTGCTGCAAAAGTTGTTTAGTTTTTAGCTGCGTTCTCTCTCCTTCCCTCTCCCATCCGTTCAGTATTTTACTTTTTTTTTTTGTTTTTTTTTTTTTTTTTAGTTTTGCAGTTTTTAGATTTTGGTTGAATGCATTTTAATAACCAAGTGCTCAAGGTTGGCACTTTTGATGGTATTTTTTGTGCTTTATGCGAGGCGACATCGTCAGTGGTTGGCCTCAGCCAGCCTGGCTACAGGTTGGTGTAACTAGCGGGCAAGCCGAGCTGCAGCTTTAGGTGCAGCTATTAAATTCTGCAGCTAGCTGTTGCTGTTCCTACTGCTGCTGTGGGCAAAGTTTTATTTTAATGAAATGCGGCAAAAACCTACAGCAACAACTACAGGAGCAACAACGGAACAAGCCGAATAAACATTAAAGGGAAAAGTTTTACTATTAAAATGCTACGTAAATTTTAATTGCCGCCGTTGTATTTGGCTTTATTTCATGTTTTTTTTTCCAGCTGCTGCTCCTGCTGCTGTAACTGATGTCGTTGTTATTGTTGTTGTTTGCTCTAGTCGCGTGTCGTACATTAAAGCCACCATATGTGATATGTTTTTATGCTAAACATGCATTAAGTGCTCAGCCCCTGTATTTGTACATTGATTAGTTTAGCTCGCACACGCACAAACTAGCATAGGAAAACATTATATGTTGGTGGAGGGGCGTGGCGGAGTAAGTGCTGGCTAGATGGGGATGGGTAAATAAAAGGGACACACTCGCTGGCATGTGCGTGTATTTGTATTTTGATTAGTTAATTACATTTTGTCTGTGTTTTTGCAATTATTTACGCTTTTGGCTATTTTTAATTAATTAAATAATTGGCCTGTAATGGCATGCAAAATGCATTGCTATTGCCATTGCCATTGCCCGGCATTGATGTAATTTGTTCGAGCAAAATGAGCCACAAAAGTCTGAGCTGAAACAAAAATTGCTGCATACAGTGCACGTTTAAGTACAATAGGCAAAAATTGAAATACTTTAAATAATTTCAAACGCATTTCAATTTCAAACGCATTAAGTTGTATTTCTATTCGGATTATAAGATGGTCAAAAAATAAATAAATGAAAATTAATGAAATAATCAGTCTGGTGAAGAAAATTCCTTTAAACCACCATTTAAACATCGAATCAATAAATTCAAACATCATTTTCAAATAGAGAGCTGTAGATATAATGGTAATATAAATTGTGTACATGGAGACATTTTATGTAATATTGTAACATTTTATTTTTTTTTTTTATATCAATTTAAAAAGCGGACATCAAGGCATTGATTGGAAGTGATTGAAAATTTCATTAAATAGACATTTCTTTCACAAGTATAAGTAAAATAGATTTCTTCATTTCTGAGATTAAAGCCATGGAATGGATGTTGTAAGGCACTGGATGTTACTGGTCTATAGTTTAGTTACATTAATTTCGCTTCTATATGCTTTTTGCAGCTAAGTCGCCTGTCAAAGCTGTGCTAAATGATTATTCAATATTTACTAACTATTAACTATTGGGGACTAAAAGTAAAGATTTTACGCCATGGTTGAGTAAGTCGAAAATTTATTACATAAATCAATTACTGAAATCATGACCATAGTTCACGATTACTGAACTGTTGAGGATACAATTTGAATGTTGTTGTTTGACAATTAAAACCCTCTCATTAAACTGAAAGTTGTTGTAGACACTTAGGTCTCCAAGCACTATTAAGGAACTCCTAATAAGATAAGTTATTATTAGATTGCTGAATATTACAAAAATAGATAAAAGATCAAAATGCTAATTTAGATAATTGAGGTACTTTAAGTTCAATTGGAAAGCCACCAAATGCATATTCGTATATGTATGTATGTATGTATGTGCATTTGTAATGAAATTTGCCTTTTATGTTGTAAACGAACGGTAAGAACGGCTTAATACTTCAATTAAAATGAGTAATTCAATTACATATCTATGTGTATTCATGCGAAAATCTTTAACACATTGAATGGCTGCTAAGTGAATAGAAATTTAAATAAGATTTTCACATGGATGTGTCCATGTGATTGTTCGTGTGTAACTGAGAATGTGTGTGGTATTCAGATTTCATTGAAAATGGCGAATTGTGCAATTCAATAATTTACTCCTATTTGCTCCTATTGTGTTGCCAGAAACGTGGTGCTTGGTCGCGGGTTCCAAATTGCGATCTGGCTTTAGTTTGCTTGTCTAATTATACGCACAATTCATTTCCACTTTAAGCGCACAAACTTTGCGCCTGACAAACTAACTGACTGACTGGCTGAGTGGGTAACTGACTGGATGAATGACTGACCAAACTTGATATTTCAATGCCTGGGTACGCAAATACACGCAAAACGGGGCAATAAACAAAAACAACGTCATTTATCTCGTATAATCCTGTTAAATCAAATTGCCTCTGGACAAGCTTTTGTTGACTCTTACAACAAGAACAACGAGAACAACAACAGCAATACGAATTGGACACAACAACAACAAAATTTAATACTTTCGCTAAATAAATAACTTACATAGCGGCAGCCCAAGCCCCTAGCCCCAAGCCCCAACCCCCATCTCCGAATTAGCTTCAGTGGAAATGCGATTCCCCACGCATAATGCCCAATGACTTCATGAATCCAATAAATTAATAAACTTTTGAAATACGCTGAGGTCATTGCGTACCACCGCCCCCTATTCCACCGCACATTTATGTGAGCAGGCATAACGAGAACGACCAGCCCAAACCAAACTGCTGCTTACCAATCCATTCGGCCAGGTCCAAGTCCACACGCCCACCTCAACAGCTCCACCAACGCACATTAATCATTGAATTTTTGGTAGCCAACTCCCTGGAGAGCAAAACGCGAGCGCGCCTCTTTGGCAGTGCGTTGGTAGCTCCCCAACCTCCAATGCCTTCAACGCCGCAGCGCGGGCTCCGCGTGAACAAAACACACACAAAATTGACTTATTGCCGGTCAAACACCTTTTCAAAATTGTGTACAGGCAGTCGTCGTTTCCATTGGCCCAAATTAAATATGAAAACTTTTGCCACAGCACCACCAGCAGCAGTAGCAGTAGCAGTGGCAGCGGCAACAAAACCGCGAAGCACATTTAAAAATTACGCCAAATGCATGCAGACAACTTTCGCATTAAGCCTGCTTCCCAACCCTCTTGTAGCAGCCGCACACACTCTGGCTCACACACACACACACACACAGACATACTTGCAGGGGTGGGGCTGTTATAGAGAGACAAGTTCCACATACAAACTTATTTACAATATAATTTGTAATTATTTAAAGAATATATTAATATTATAAAATCGAATTTCCTTTTTTTAATACTTGAAATAATTTAATTGCGTTTCTCCCGAAAGGCTCTGCAACCCAGTTTCTTGTAATCGAATTATATTCCAAGGTTTGAAAACAATTGTATGCATTGTTTTTCACTTATCATTACAAAAGAGCCAATAAACTTAATATACTATAACATTACAGTGAATGAGAATCAGAATTCTTTGCTCGACATGTCATATTTCCATATGCTAGCAATACATTAATACAAGTATATTCATTAAATTCTGAACTAAAAAAAAAAATTATAAAATCGAATTTCATTTTTTTAATACTTGAAATAATTTAATTGCGTTTCTCCCGAAAGGCTCTGCAACCCAGTTTCTTGAAATCGAATTATATTCCAAGGTTTGAAAACAATTGTATGCATTGTTTTTCACTTATCATTACAAAAGAGCCAATAAACTTAATATACTATAACATTACAGTGAATGAGAATCAGAATTCTTTGCTCGACATGTCATATTTCCATATGCTAGCAATACATTAATACAAGTATATTCATTAAATTCTGAACTAAAAAAATTTTTTCAAAAATATAAAATAAAGCTACGTAATCGTGATGTTCTTATGATTACAAGGAGGGTGTTCAAATACAAGAATTCTAACTACTGGAACCTTCTATCACGATATCGGATTAAAAAAAGAAAGTACATTTACAAAAAAGCTGAACTAAATCATTCTTATAAGATTATGGCCGACTGGAATGATGATACCTGCGTAATTAAATGTGAAGTAGAATAATTGACTTCCGACTATCGTCTACCACGCACGAATTTTGCAGATATGACTTATTAGTAAATTTACTAATTGTTAAGGGGTAAATAATAAATATTGTTGGCCAAATAAAAAAACAACTGCTCCACAGCTTTAATTATTGTTTTGTTTAAGCGTTTTTTTTTTTTTTAATTTTAGGATGTTACAATATCTTGTTGATTCACGTAAAACAGGCAAGTCAAAACTTTTTCAGTAATCATGGGATCGTCAAAGCGAATTGTAAAGAATTTTTGACAATGTGGCCATCTGCGAGACCGAAAGTTGAATTGAAAAACTGGCTACTACTGTAGATTGCTCCAGTCTTTCCTTAAATTTATCGAGAAAATACGTCAATAAACCTGTAAAACCATTAAATTTGTTTAGTTTAAATATTGGTGTTGTTATTTAATAAGTCGAAATTATAGATTATAACATTAAAGTTGACGTTGTATCGGTAATATAAATATGAATTTATTAATTTTCGGGACATTCCGAGGAAGGCGAGACTTTTATAATAAAAAGTTGAGTTATGTTTGTTTGCGATTTGTGTGAATACAGGAACTCCAAGTATAAGAATTGTTTTAAACAATGGATTGCATACTATTGATATATAGACAACAAAATATCGACAAAGAGCGACTCAGAAAGTGGCAGAGACTCTCATTCTGACTCATTCTGGTTAGTGAGTATGAAATATGGCTTTGCCTATTTTCATCTAGGTGGAAGATAATGATGATTTATATTATAAATTCAGCTCCCCCTGACCCGTCCACAACAATTTCTGGAGACGCCACTGTGCATGCGCACTTATAAACAACGACAACTCAATAAATTTTGATGTGAATACGTTTTTCGTTTTTAGTATGATGAGCGGCACTCGTTTGCCAATGGTTTTGTTGTTGGCATTGTTGTTGTTGTTGCCAGATCACGTATTGCGCAATATAATGGAAATTTGTGCAAGTGACGCACAACTTAAATTACATATTTTATTTGAATTTTTTGTTCAGTCAGTCAGGCAGTTCGTTCGGTCCGTCTGTTTTGTTTTGTTCTACTCTGTTCTGTCTGTTGTTTACCTTATCACAGAATTAATAAATTTCAAGTTGCTTTAACGCTCAGTCCCTATTCCAATGCTGTCCAGGGAAAGTGCCTGGACTGTGCTGTTGAGTGTCCTTGTGGTTGTTTGTCTTGGCGTCTTGGGCGCTTGCTTGTGGGCTTGTGCTGCCTTCTCAACAATATTTCTCCACTTTGCGCCCATAAATTTGTATATTTGTATGCCGCTGCTGTCTGTTGCGCCCTTTTTGTTTTGTTTTTGCGTTTTTTGTTGTTGCCCTAAACATATTTTTGGCCATGGCCAGCCTCCGAATGCTTGTTGTTGGGATGAAGCTTTTGAACGCCTGGCGACTGTCGCACGCTTTTGTTTGAGATGGCCACCCTGCCGCCTGTGTCCTGCGGTTGTTGCGCCTAAAAGTAGTCAAATTGTGCGGACTAATAAATTTTGTTGCTTGTTGTGCGCGCTTGTTTCTCTTTTTCCTGCTCGCTGCTGTCTGCTTCATGTCGTTATATTTATATATTGCCGCACGTCCATGTGTAAGTATAGCTTTGGCGTACAGTGCAACCCATCTTTGATTAACTTAGGCACCAATTGGTGGCTAGTTTTCAAATAGGGCCAGGACCAGATTAAAACAATAAAGTGTGCTTTATTGTAATTGAATATAGGGAAATATCTCTAAAGTAGGTGTCATTTCTTTGACAATTACGCTTGAGTCTTTAATAGATCTACTCTTAATTGATTGCGTAATTATTTTCAATCGCTTGCGTAGAAGAATAATTGCAGCCGATTGGGCTTTATGTTTATGAATTTTGGTGGGGTATATAAATAGCTGCCACAATCTAATACATTTTATTTAGTTATTCAACCTAATCAGCTTAAATTCGTTTGGCGTTTAGCTCATATTTTCGAGATAACAAACTTCGGACAATTTCGTTTAAAATTCAAGCAATCATGTTTAGTCATCAATTGGTATTGCCTAAGATCGCAGGATCATATAAATTGTGAAATATTGGTCTGTCTGACCACATGTTTCTTACTGTAAATAAATTGACAGGTCGCACTGTACCCCAGTATATGTGAGTGTGTGTGTGTGTGTGTGTGCCTCACTCCATTTGGCACACGCTTCCTCATGCCCAGCGGCAATTGCTCGTCGACATCGTCGTTGTTGTTGGTGTTGGCATTCATACGAAAAACCGTCGCACATCCGGTGTTGGCTCACCTTGTTGCTGTTGCTGCTGCTGTTGCTCCTGATGCCGTTACCCACCAACTCCACCCACGCCTTACCTTTTGAAATGACATTCATTGGCTTTTACGTGTTTATTTGGAATTTCATTAAAAATTATTAGAAGCTGTTTTGTTTTTTCATGGTTTTTGTGGGCTTTGCTTGTTGGTTACCGTTGGTTCCTTTCATTCCCTCCTGTATTTTTTTTGGTAGGTTTTATGCCGCCTCTCGCTATGTCTGTCTGTGTGCGTGAGTGTGAGGGTGTGTGTCTGTAATGGCGCTTTCATGCTTGTGAATTTTATTTGAAAATTTTCTTGCGTTTGGTTTTGGTTTTTGTGTCGATGGTCCTGCTTCTGCCTCTTCTCCAGCCCCTGATGTTACTGCCAGTGTCGTTTTTTGGCCAACATTTTAAATTTGTGCATACTTGTTGGCTTTGTTAGTTGCACCAATGTCGACGCTTCGCATTTCGAGGAACTGTTCTGTTCTGCTCTGCTCTGCGCCTTTCCTTGCCGCTTTGTGCGCCATTTTGGCGTGTCTGTTGTTGCGGTGGCGTTGGCTATAAATTTTTAATAGATAATGTATATGGCTGAGAGGGGTGGTGTTCGCCTTCGTTCGTTTGCTCTTGGTCACGTGACTTGGCGGGAGGGAGGTAGGGAGGGGCATGCTTAAAGCTTTTAATCGTCGCTTATTGTTATGTAGATTGTCCTGCTAATACCGTCGCCTGTCTGCCTTCCATGTTGGCTGACTATGCAGCTGTTGGTAGTTGGCATTATGCGCACACTTTGCGTATAATGGCCCACGTGTCTATCTAACTATGTATGTGTGTGTGCGTGGTAGCGTGTGTATATACATATATATATATATATATATATATATAACTCGAGCCAACACACAGACAATGTGGTCGACACTTTTTGGCTTTGCCGGTATAACTGTAATGCATAAATTAGCTTTTACAAAGTCATAGACGACGGCTTGGGCGCGCTTTTAATTTGCGTGACTGTGGCCGAGGTTAGTTAGTGGTGCTCCCTGCCCCTCTTTTTCCCTTCCTTTTGTCCCTCCATCCATGCAACTGTCGTTATCTCTTTGTCTGTGTCTGAGCATCTTTTAGTACGTTTATGTGAGACTGGTAATTGCATATATAAAATTTAAAAAAAGTTCTTTTATAAATAAATAATCAAAACATTTTGAGCATTAGTTGAGTTTTCAAAATAATTGAAGCATATTACTCTCACATGTGTAAAAATATAAATCTAATTATCGCAAACAATTACCTCAATCGTAGAAATGTTTCCATCTTTGGAAAATCACGAAATATTTAAGTTTGCAAACAGTTCCTTAAGACATGAGTTTCAAAAGAAAATTTTCTTGTACTTTTTACCATCAGTTCGTTTTTTTTTAATTTCGTATCATTTGGTTTCTGTGGTGAGGAGAAGGACGGTATTAGGTTTTTATATTCGCTCAGCCTGATTAGTAAACGGTATCAAGAACTAAGCTTCAGTTTGTGCTTTTTGTTTGCATTAGCAGACAACCTCCGCATTAAAGAAGTTTTTTCTTTCTGTTTTGCTGTAGATCTGAGTTTCCAGATAGTTCTTCATCGCTATATGAGGTATATTTTATATTCTGAGCTTTAAGGTGGAATTAAGGACCTGTTGTTTTGTTCATTATTTTAAATTTAAGCTTATATTTGATGTACTTCCGTTATTCAAAAAAAAGCAGTCCATGTAGTCGATACTAATCATTTTTATGGCCCGAACCTAAAGAATGAAAAGGGTACATCAGGTTTGTGCAAAGTATGTAACAGACAGAATGACATTTGGGTAAAACAAAAGAAATCAGAAAGCTTTGTCAAAAGTTGTCCTGCATATTAACTTCGCATTAACAGCGAGTTTTGGCCATTTATGGGACACAGTAATTTTCATATGCATTAACGTAGCTTTGTCTGTCCCTTGGTTCCTCTTGCTACTTCCTTTTAGATTCTCTTTTCTCCCAGGGCACATTGACAAATGCATTTTAAAGTTGTGGCGCTCATTAAGCTTGATGCAGACGATGTGTAAGAAGCATAAGTAGAAGCAGTGGACCGACCACGTCATGTGGTGCAGGCAACTGCATAAATTCAGCTGAAAAGTATGCTATACTCTTGCTCAATATGAAATGCAGTACGAGCTCTCTCTCTTTTGCCCACTTAACGCGTCTGTTGCGCAAATTTTCGATTGTTGAGTCGGCACTTCATATGCAAAACTGCATACACACATGCATACGAAACGTTGCAACATTTCAACATTGCAACTGTTTATATGGCTCTGAAAATCTGTATTTTAAGCTTTTGGCTTTTTACCAACAGAGGCGGAATCAGGGTCGGTGGCGGTTGTAGCGGCAGAAACCCGCACAACTGGTAGCAAAGTTTTGAAGCGCACTTGGCAAGACATGAATGCGTAATAACGAAAAGCGGAAACAAACAACTATAAAGCTAAGGCGAGCAGGCCAAAGGGAGGTAGGTCTTGCTACGCTTACACACACAACTGTAGTTAGTGAGAAAAAAGGGGCGTGAGTGAGACACGGCCATGGACAAATACACATGGCAACACATATGCATCAAAAGAGCTAGAAAAACAACGCCAAACAATGCAAATGTATTTAGCATAATGAGACAGGAGAAATGTGCAAAAATGCAAACATTTGCGGTGCCTCGTTGTTGCCATTGTTGTTTCTGCTTCTGCTTCCGCAGCACCGAGCGGGTGAGCGAGTAAGTGTGTGGGTGGGGGTAGATGCGGAAGGGGACGACAGTGTCGAGGGCACGACAGCAGCCGGCGCTCACACTTTATGTGTGAACGTTGCTCACAAATGGCAACAACATTTCAACTGTCTGCTCTCTGCCCCAGTATGTATGAACTATGTGTATGTGAGTGTGTGTGTGTGTGTTGGTTTTCAAAATGAAAGTCATATGCTAACTCATAACTCAACTTGTTGTTGGTGCTGCTGCCTTTGCGGCGGCGGTGGCAGCGTCAGCAGCAGAAGTTATTTCATTTGGTATTTCAAGTTTGCTGGCATTTGAATGAAGTCATTATGAAAACGGCAGCAGTAGCAGTAGCAGCAGCAGCAAAAGAAGAAGAAAAA